ACTCCCACGATGTCCCCCTACTGATGTAAAATATAAGGTGACCTCTGGCCCCCCTACAGATTTACAATATTACTTGTTCTCTGATCACGTTACTGTTGTCCCCTACTGATGTGTACTATAATATTAAATTGAATAAAATCTTACGGGAAACAGGTCACCTAACGTAATCTATAAATGTTAAACGCTTTTATATCATATATCGCATAAAATTGCAGTTAATGTTGCTCAGCAACCACCCTCCCCCCCCCATCTTTTATAAAACCCTTCATATGGTTATTCCTTTTAAAAATTGTTTGTTTTACACTTTAAAGGCTTCACATATTAGGATTTATTCTACTTTCACTTTACGTATGCAACGCACTACATTTTGTAGCGGAGTAAACAGGCCCGATAGTCGTGAACTACAGGGGGACCTCAGGGCCTATTTCAGCGTACGTTTTATCCTTCTGCTATGAAACAAATCCTACATTTTCATGATGTCTCTTGTGGGATGCACTTCTCAATGTCAAACTTAATCACTAATCATATTACATTATACACCTATAATATGCAATTGTAATCAGTGTAATCTTATTGTAATAATTTGTTCATGCTCCCGAGGGCCCTTGATTGGTGAATAAACATATCTATAGAGATATGCTCTTTACGAGGGAATGCTCCGCTTTGCTATGCCCTTTTTATATTCTAAAAACGACCTGCTGTAAATTATCCATTAGAATAAAATAGATTTTTTCACGGGCCCAGGTTTATGCACTGATCTAGATAGGGGGGAGGGGGCAGAGTTCCCTGGAATTTGCAGAGTTATTAACTTGGACCCCCTCCTCCCTCCTAAAAACGTGGACAACCCTACAAAACGCAAAACTGTTAAGTTGGTATGAAAAGTTATAGATATGAAGCTTAAGAAGTCAGCAACTAGCGCCCCCTCCCCCTCCCACACACACACGCACACGAAATAGGTTCACGTTTGGGAAAGGCGTTTACATTTTTTTGCTTGTCCAGAAATGTCTCGGCTGGAATTTTATAGGACCGGTATGGAACACCCCCCCCCCCCCCTGAAAAAAAATTCCTAAATCCGCCTGAGGTTGGTGTTAAGGCTTTCTTGGTTCATATGTGTTTTTCTTGTGACAACTTTATTTGAGTTGGATTCTTTATGTCAATCTTGACCTTGGAGTTTGACTTGCATTTGAAAAACTTTAACATTCGTCATGAACTGCCATGGGGGAGGGTGTCACAAGCACATCTTGATTAGATAAAACCAAAAAAAAGAGTGGTGTCGAAGTAGTGTGGTTTTAAGAATGTTTACAGACAGACAGAAAAACACATTCCATAGGCTAGAGTTGAACTAAACAGACACTACAGGTATTGGGTACATTATCAACCGCTTTTCCAATAAAAATCCGGAATTGAAATGAAATTGTGAAAATGGCAGGCGGGTGACCGGCTGGCACAAGGATACATCTAATATATTGAGCAAGCACACCACAACATCATTTGTGCCTATCTATCCGCCTACAATTTTCAACATAGAAAGTTTTATCAACCGGAGATAGTTTTTAAATTCTTATTACGAATGCTTATATATATGTTTATTCACCAATCAAGGGCCCACGGGGGGCATGAACAAATTATTACAATATAATAAGAACATTAATTACAATTCTATATTATAGGTGTATAATGTAACATGACTATAGTGATTAGGTTTGACATTGAGAAGTGCATCACCACACTTGATCAAAAGCATAGAAAACCATAGGATGATAAAAAGAAAACACAATTAAATAAAAAAGATAGATATAAGGTGATTAAAAAAAAAATTCTTGTAGTTATGGCAGTACTCTAATATATAACTAATGCATCTTGAATACAAAGGGCACCAGGAGATGATACCTCTACACAGCCAGACTGGCAAACCTGTACCCTAAGTATTGAAGACGGTCATTCAAAAAAAAAAAATTGTTTAAGTATTATCAGAAATAGTAATTTCAATTAATAAGTACTTAGCATATAATTATAGACTTGATGCAAACTAATCTCTTGGAGTTGGTTCAATAGATATTTAACATTCTAATCTTATAAATATACGCATACCCACATACACAAACATACACTTATTGTTACACATATCCATGCATACAAAAATAATAATTTACATACAAATATATGTATATATATAAACAAATGGTACTATCATGTATAAATGTAAATCTGTGAACTTGAAGGTAGCATACAATTAATGTAAAGAAAAGGTAACTTGGATACAGAGGGTACCAGGGGACGATGCCTCTGCACAGTCGATTATACTGGCAAACCCGTACTCAAAGTATCCAAGACACCAATTCTGACTGATTCTGTACATTTTAGAAGGTAATGGGGGGGGGGGGCACATTTAATTTACAAATAAAATAAAAAAATAAATAAGAAAAAAACTTTTCATAGGTTTACTAATACTTTTCATACTTCAGCTCTCATAATACTTTTACTGACGTGAATCAGTATTTGCACATCCTCATTAGTCATGAGCCAATTTAACTTATTATCACTGTCCAAGTTGTGGAAATTCTTACAGGATTTGTTTATTTAAGGTCAAGATCTAGTAAATGACTTGAGAATAACTTTTCAGTGCTAAATCCATTATGACATCATAATCACTTTCAACTTTCTTTTTCCCATACTTTACGTTTCTAATAAAATTATGTAGAAAATAAAGTATTTCATGAAATTAAATTTGAAATCACGTGAAAAGTAGTCCCGATACCTATCTTAAATTTAACATTATTTTAAAGTAGAGACTAAGAACATACAAATAACTGTTTTCTGAAAAACTGTAGGCAATCTGGATACATTTTCTTTGTCTGATATGGAAAAAACTCCCATTTTCAATACTGGTTTCCTAAATTTTTCATTGAAAATGATAGTTAAAAATATGGGTTTTCATCTTGTTTTTCTACAAATTATGCCCCGAAACTACTACTTTGACCAAGCTAATGTTATAAAGCACCATTAAAGGAATTAATTTCTTAAATTTGAAAAATCTGTAGGCACCTTTCATTTACTAGATCTTGACCTTAAGAAATGACTCTAATTCTTGGCCATATTATCGAGTATAATCTGGTTTGGGTCAGTTTACGCTTTATAATCCGCGAAGCGGATTATAAAAAAGCGCAAACTGACCCAAACCAGATTATACTTGATAATATGGCAAGAATTAAAGTCATTCCTTATAATTTAATTTTAAAAAAATTAAACAACTTTTGGACTGGAAATGAGGGGATTGCATGGATATGATGATTAAGCTGGTCGTCAAGGGGGTGTGTCCCCTACCAAACCAGATTATACAAAATGTTTTGCGTTCCTTTTTGGAATTCGACCAATGAGAGGCGAGAATACAAACAAAATTAAATTATTAATTCATACAAGACTTTTCTTTCATCCTTAATGTGATTACATGAAAGGAGAAAATGTTTCTCATCATCAACTGTTTTGTCATTGCATCTACTGCAGTGTCTTTCTTCTCTAGGAATGCCTATATATCGACCCTTTCAATATTAAGTCTGTGAGCTGATATGCGAAAACGAGTAAAACTTCTCCTCTGCTCAAAATACTTAATTAAATTATGATACTTTTCGTGACCAAAATTTTGTTTAAAAGTGCTATAGCATCTCAGCTATTAGGGTGCTCATTTTTCAGTATTAATCCTCCCACAGTTTTATAGGAAGTAATTACATATATTTTGCGGATTAATTGAACATAATTAATTAGAAATGTGCATGATATCTGGAATTTCCTTTTTGATCATTTAATTATTAGGAAAGTATTAATTCCTGAATTTAGTCATTTTTAAACTTTATGTTTATTAATACTAGTATTGTCCAAATGTTACCTTCAACAATTTCCAATAAAACGTATTCAGACATACTTTTCATATAAAAAAAAAACAAAACAAAAAACAACAACAACAACAACAGTTTGTTGTTTCTTATTTATAACAAAAACAATACGACTGCTTAGCATCTAAGTTTTTCAAAGTCAAAATATGTAATGTAACTTGGCTTTTTTGCAAAGCATATATATATATATGTTCTCCAGATATATATTAACATGATTAAGGTAGTCCGATCCTCAGGTTTATTAAATTAGCAGTTAATCAAAAATACTACAAAAGTTGGAAGGAGATCTGGGTTAGATCCCACCGTACCTCCTCTTTAGAAACCTCCAAATAGAATATGGCATCGATCTCTGTTTCTAACCACCCCTACGGTTTTGTGAATCTCCGACCCTTATATTGCTAAGGAGGGCCTGCATATACGGTCTACGTATAAAAAGCCGAGCATTTCTTCCTTCAGATTCATCTGTTCAATATCGAACCCCACCACAGCAATTGTAGTTTTCTTGTGTGTTATAGTTTGTGTATGCGGGCTTTCTACAACCGATAAGACAAAACAGAATGATGACATAGCCGACATTAAAAACAGACTAGGACATCTTGAACAGTTGATTGGACAACTGGTCACCGGAAATTCATCTTCGGATGTTTTTTTTTAAAATTTAGTGGTAAGATTTTAATGAAATATTTTCGTACTTCTTTTCTGAGACATACAATTTTACTTATATTTTGTTATGCTGAATTTGCACAAAGTTACACTAAGATCTGAGTAATTTCATTAATTAACCGGCTTTAAGTTTGAATTTGGGGAAAGTGTTTGAAAAAAAAATTCCTATAGGTAAAATTTCTTAGGTGTTACATTTAAATTTTAATTATTTCGGTGCCTATATTTCTTTTTTTTTGTTTTCATAATCTTCACATAATTATATAAATATAATTATTACTGATTGGTCGTATTTTTTTCCAGATTCAGTTGTAACATTTTGTATTTTAAATATACATGTATTTTGGAATCGATACCACAAGTTTCATAACAGGCACGTAGCATCGTTTTTTAAAGTGGGGGGGGGGGGGAACCAGAGAAAAAATTTTTTTTTACTTACCTATGGAATGCCATATATACGACAGCCAACTGCTTACTGCCAACTGCTGACTGCTTACTGCCAACTGTCAGCTGCTTACTGCCAACTGCCACAAATATTTGATTAAATTTTATATTTATATTGATATTCATATGAATTTTCAAGAAAAAAAAAGAAGGTAAAAAAGGCGCAGATCCCAGGACATTTTTCCAAGAGGGTCACCCAAGTTAAATGACCAATGTGTTTTATTTTACGAAATATTCAATATATGAGATTGATAAAGTACATTGTTTATTTTTTTAAAATTTGTTTTCTTATTTGAAATAGGTAATAAAATTACTATTTCTATTTTCTGCTTTTAATTTTTAAAGAAGTACCCCCCCCCCCCCCCGGAGACAACAAAACCTTTGAAGAGAGAGTGAGAAAAAAAAGATTTGTGGTTTCGCAGAGAGAGAGAGATGTTTTGAAAATAAATTTACATTTTCCAATATACTCTTTAGTTAAAAAATTTATCACCGTGTGAAATTGACTGTTTGACTTCAAATTCATTTTGGATTCTAAATGTTATATTTAACTTTTGTTTTAATGTGATATTTGGTATTCTAAAATTATTGTGTTTTAAAAATTGCATTTTACCATTCTTTCTCATGTTAAATTACTAAGTGTTCATTTAATTACTGAGTGACACTTGTCGGACACCAAAGGGGCAGAGTGTTTATGCCCAAGGACATTTTAATCACTTTTACAAACAACATGTAATTAATTAATTATCGGTGTTCTTTATGTCCATGCAATCAAAGTATTTCATTAATTGCTCACTGTATCACTTTTACTCATTTTCAACACCTGTCATTTTTAACTCATTGTACATTTTCCCATAAAAACAATTGTCAAATTTTACTAAAACAGTTCGGAGGCCGGGTGTACTACCGGCCACACGTCCGACTCGTTCCCCCATCATGCTGTAATTATTTATACTTTTAACAGTTTGGAGGCTACGGCCATATCCGACTGGTTCTTGTTTATTGTTGTTCCATGTTAGCCATTTCCATCGTTGGGACTTTATAATAAATTCGGAAACCATACTTTTTCCTCGTTACTTTGGACTTTTTATATGTGTCATCGGGAAGAGTCCTTGGAATACGGCTTTACTACTTCCGGCCAACAACGCCTCTCACTTCCCCTGCCAACATTCCCTCTTGCCCGATCAACGACACATATACATCTTCTAGACCCAAACTACGCGGTCATAAATGGTGGAGAATCCTAAGGGTAACATCATCGCCCGGGGCTGCTGCATATATTTTGCAGTAGTCAGATCCCGAACCTTTCCAGCTAGCGAGTTCCCCCGTGACATATTCGACCAACCAGTTCAACATGCTCAACGATGGAAACAACTGCGCTGCAACAGCCATGGACAACTGCACTCGATTTACCATACCAATGCCTGTATACAAACCAGATGATTTTTCGTGACAGAATTTCATGACTTTTCCACTTTTTACCATCAAAGCATTTCTACGCACAATCGCGAACTTGTTTCAAACTTTATTTGCAGTGATTTTTCTTTCAAAACACGAGGACGTGTTTTTCCCGGAGCGGTGGGAAACTATCACCGTGTGAAATTGACTGTTTGACTTCAAATTCATTTTGGATTCTAAATGTTATATTTAACTTTTGTTTTAATGTGATATTTGGTATTCTAAAATTATTGTGTTTTAAAAATTGCATTTTACCATTCTTTCTCATGTTAAATTACTAAGTGTTCATTTAATTACTGAGTGACACTTGTCGGACACCAAAGGGGCAGAGTGTTTATGCCCAAGGACATTTTAATCACTTTTACAAACAACATGTAATTAATTAATTATCGGTGTTCTTTATGTCCATGCAATCAAAGTATTTCATTAATTGCTCACTGTATCACTTTTACTCATTTTCAACACCTGTCAATTTTAACTCATTGTACATTTTCCCATAAATACAATTGTCAAATTTTACTAAATCAGTTCGGAGGCCGAGTGTACTACCGGCCACACGTCCGACTCGTTCCCCCATCATGCAGTAACTATTTCTACTTTTAACAGTTTGGAGGCTATGGCCATATCCAACTGGTTATTGTTTATTGTTGTTCCATGTTAGTCATTTCCATCGTTGGGACTTTATAATAAATTCGGAAACCATACTTATTCCTCGTTACTTTGGACTTTTAATATGTGTCATCGGGAAGAGTCCTTGGAATACGGCTCTACTACTTCCGGCCAACGACGCCACTCACTTCCCTTGCCAACATTCCCTCTTGCCCGATCGACGACACACATCTTTCAGACCCAAACTACGTGGTCATAAATTCCTCAAATCAAAGATTTATACCTCTGTGTGTTATAAAGTTTCACATGCATAGATCGGTGGGGGGGGGTAAACTTGTACAGTCATGGGTTAATGTATTTATAAACTGAACGAACTAAAACTGACCTTGGACCCTCTACTTAGAAAAAGCCGATCAAACATTTAATATATTTACATGTATTTGTTTTTACAAATAAGATGTATTTTACATGCTTAAATCTAGAGAGAGGGGCCCAGATCACCCCTCTGAAGTTTGTAAAGTTATTTAATGCACAAACTAAACAACTAAAAGTTATTTAATGTTAGAACCCTCCACCCCAACCCTCCTGAAAACGCCAATTCGTGTTAAGTTGGTATAAAAAATGTCATAGACATGAAGGTACGACGCATAATAACCCCCTCTCCCCGGAAGAAATAATTTTTCACATTTAGGAAAGGACTTTACGTTTTATTTTCTTGTCAAGAAATTTCTGGGCTTGATTTTTTTTTACCAGAGTGACCCTCTTAGAAAAATGTCCTAGATCCGCGCCTTTTTTGTGAAAATTTACATAAATATCAATAGAAAAATAAAATTTATTCAAGTTTGTGTAGCAGTTGGCAGTAAGTAGCTGACAGTTGACAGTAAGCAGGCAGCAGTTGGCAGTAAGCAGTTGGCTGTCGTATATGGCATTCCATACTTATGGCATTGACAAGCAAAAAAAAAAAAAAACAAAAAAAAAAAAAAAAAAAAAAAATTGAAATTAAAAGTTGCCCAAACTCGAAAATCTTATTTAGTGGTGGTGGTGGTGGTGGTGGGGGGGGGGGGGGGACGGGGGTAGTGGCCAACTTTTTCAAAGCCAAATTACTTTCCCTTTCAAATTTTTTTCCTACAATTCCTTGATAACACTATACTATGGTAAAAAGTGGGGGGGGGGGGGGGTGCAACCATCCTTTCAATGAACATTTTCTATAGTAAAGGTAATACTGGGGAAAAAAGTGGGGGGGGGAGGGGCAGGCCCCCCTATTGCTACGTCCCTGCATAAAACTTTATGGGAGAAAAAAAATGATAACAGCGAATCTGTCTCTTTTCCATTGCCATTCTTTTGTAATACAAAATACTAAATGTAAAAAAAAAAACATTAGAAATTAAGAAAAAAACTTTCGGAATCACATTTTAAATGCTAGGTAAAGATTTTAAGCTTATTTTTTTTCAGGCGCGTAGCATCGTTTTTGAAAGTGGGGGGGGGGCAACCAGAGAAAAAATTTTTTTACTTACCTGAAAAAGTTGACAAGCAAAAAAAAAAAAAAAAAAAAAAAACGGAAAATTTGCCAAAGTCGAAAATCCTATTTCGTGGGGTGGGTGGGTGGGGTTAGAGTTGTACACTTTTTCTCAGTGTCAACTACTTTCAGTACCAATTCTAATACTATATTTCCGGTACATCACTAAAAGTGGGGGGGGGGGGGGCAACCAGGCTTTCTATTAACATTTCCTATATTATTAGTAAGGTTGGGAAAAAAGGGGAGCAGCCCCCCCCCCTTTGCTACGCCCCCTGTTGTTGCCCAAGTATATTTACTAAGGACTGGTATATTTGATTGTAGGAACCATGCTGCAGAAAAGTCTGTGTGGCTTTCAGAATAAAACAATTGTTTTAATTAATGAAAGATTTATAATTAGATTCCTGTAAACTTTGTAAACTCATGGCCCTTGAGTTTTCTAATTTATTATTATACAGTGTCCACGGGCAGAAACTACCACGTTTCCTTTTCTGCCTACAAGAACCATACCCAATCTGGACTCAATAAGAGACACATCATCAAGTTTGAGCAGACGATACTTAACCTTGGAAATCACTACCACCCCGAGGACGGGATATTTATTGCCCCGGTGTCAGGTGTTTATTTCTTCCACTGGACCATCAATAACCACGGGGATTATGCATATACCAACATATTGGTGGGAGGAAAAGTTATGTCAACAACTACTACCTCGGTAGTATCTGGACATAATTCTGGATCTGCTTTGGTGATTGTTCAAGTTCAGAAGGGGCAGCATGTTTGGATTCAGACCTGCTGTGGTTCTTCAAATGAAGTGTATGGAACCACTCTGGGGTTCGACAACGCTTTCCAGTCTACTTTTTCTGGGACCTTACTCTTTCAAGTTTCAGAAAATTAAAGATATGTATGAAAAAAAAAAAACAAAAAACAAAAACACAATCCCATTGTTTAAAAAAAAGTGACAAATCTTATTAAATACAATTTTATAAACTGCTCATAGAAATAATCAATTTCTGTGAAATATATAATTGTGGAGTACTATTCGTTCCATCTGTTTTCATTTTTTTCCCCCAATCTATCATAGTATACATGTAGCTGCAGAACTACAGCTCTCCAAAAAAATATATTGACAGAAAAGCTACAGTGCCACCTATTGAAAAACTGTATATTTATTGCACACCAAAAACCCTGTTTCTCGATTTTTTCTCCATGTTTTTTTAAACTGTCAACTCAAATATTACTTACCGTGTGTTCCTAACATATTCTTTCACTGTTTCCACAACAAAACATTCCATATAATTGTTTTTAATAGCCCTCCTGGCCCTGAAATTGAGATTATCGAAAATTTTGCCCATTTATACTGCCATTTTGGTTTGATAATTTGACCCAACGCACTTCGTTCACATGTAAACTAGGAGAGTAATTGAGGAGAAAATGACTTTTTGAAATCTAGCTTTTTTGCAATTGGTGTAAGAATTTGGAAGAATTTATCGAGAATCGAGCGCACCTTTTTGTGTGCAATAAATATACAATTTTTTCAATGGGTGGCACTGTAGCTCTCTGGTCTGTCGATATATATTTTTTCGGAGAGCTACAGTTCTGCAGCTATCAAAGTAAGGTTGGCAGAAAAGATTGAGTAAACTTAAAACTGTTCAAGAGATCATAAAGAACCTGTTATATATCACAAGAAATGACAAATTTCATGCAGATATTAGGCCTAATATATGAAATGAAAATGCTTTTCAAAACTGTGCCATCAGCATTGGAACAATGAATTGATTGTTCATTGTCACATTGTGTGTGATTTAGGCCTGAAATTCACATTGTACCCTAAATTGGAAAAATCAAACTAGACTTGAAAAAGCTATAAAGAGAAAGTAGTCTCCAAATGATGTTGATTCTTTGTGAAAAAAGGGAGTACTAGATTATACATGTCTATAAATATTATTGATAAGGTTTTTGTAGACCTCTACATTTAGTAATATGTGTAATTATAAATTTTAACTGCAGCATTCATGTGTCTTTATAAACTAAATAATTTTAAATAATCAATGTGTGTAATAATGTATTTAATCTATTTAAGATCAGCTATGTATTATACATATGAGTGACATACACATGACTTATCAATAAAACACCTTTAATAATATACCGGTACAGTCTTAAAATGTTCAACAACTGAAAAATTCATGGACGGAATTCAATGTCCTAGACATTTGCTTATAAAATGCTTCTGCACCAAAATACAAGAGGCCCATGGGCCTTATAGGTCACCTGAGCATCATGCAACAACTTTACAATGATTGACTTTGGTTCATGTTTTAAACTAGATGCCATTCACAATTTTGAAAGAGGCACCATTGCTAATCATAACTATACACTTAGCATGTTTAGTATGGTTACTTAATACCCACAGACAGAGTAGGGGAACAAAACAAGAGGCCCATGGGCCTTATAGGTCACCTGAGCATTATGCAACAACTTTCCAGTGATTGAATTTGATTCATGTTTTAATCCAGATGCTATGGCATTCACAATTTTGAAAGAGGCCCCATTGATCATCATAACAATACACTTAGAGTTGCTTAGTTTGTTTACTTAATACCCATAGGCAGGGTAGGGGAACAAAAAATGTATTTCAAGTAATCAGTAATATTCAGCATGATCAGTAATGCCCCAATCACACATGAACCCCTCACCCTTAGGCCTAGATCCACACATTGCACAATTTTTGAAAAGGCACCCTTGCTTTTCAAAAATATTTGATTAATACCAAGGAGCATATTTCGAACAATTCATCCAGTTTCAGTATAAAAGTACAGCCCCCCTCCTTTATTGTACCCCTGACCCTGGGGCCTTGAAATTCACAATTCTGGAAAATTAGTACCCTTGCTCATCATAACTATATAGGTAGTTCATCTGCTTAATACCAAGGAGCAGAGAAGGAAACTTTCAAAGATTCAATGTATTTTCACTATATAATCAATAGAGCCCCGCCCTATCACTAGAACCCCTGACCCTAGGGCCATAAAGTTCACAATTTTGGAAGAGGTATTCTTGCTCATCATAACTTTGTAATTAGTTTATTTCATTCCTAGGAGCAGAGAGGAAGATTTTCAAAGAATTTATGTATTTTCACTATATAATCTATAGAGCCCTGCCCTAACACCAGAACCCCTGACCCTGGGGCCATAAAATTCACAATTTTGGTAGAGGCACTCTTGCTCATCATAACTATGCACTTATTTAATTTATTTAATACCCCGGAGCAGTGAAGAAGATTTTCAAAGAATTAATGTATTTTCACTATATAATCTATAGACCCCCCCCCCCCCCCCTTACACCAGAACCCCTGACCCTGGGGCCATAAAATTCATAATTTTGGTAGAGGCACTCTTGCTCATCATAATTATGCACTTAGTTTATTTAATACCCAGGAGCAGAGAAGAAGGTTTTCAAAGAATTCATGTAATTTCACTATATAATCTATAGAGCCCTGCCCTAACACCAGAACTCCTGACCCTGGGGCCATAAAATTCACAATTTTGGTAGAGGCACTCTTGCTCATCATAACTATGCACTTAGTTAGTTTATTTAATACCCAGGAGCAGAGAAGAAGATTTTCAAAGAATTCATGTATTTTCACTATATAATCTATAGAGCCCCACCCTAACACCAAAACCCCTGACCCGTGGGCCATAAAATTCACAATTTTGGTAGAGGCACTCTTGCTCATCATAACTATGTACTTAGTTAGTTTATTTAATACCCAGGAGCAGAGAAGAAGATTTTCAAAGAATTCATGTAATTTCACTATTATAATCTATAGAGCCCCACCCTTACACCAGAACCCCTGACCCTGGGGCCATAAAATTCACAATTTTGGTAGAGGCACTCTTGCTCATCATAACTATGTACTTAGTAGGTTTATTTAATACCCAGTAGCAGAGAAGAAGATTTTCAAAGAAATAATGCATTTTCACTATATACTTATTTGGCCCCGCCCTAGCACTAGAACCCATGACCCCGGGGCCATGAATTTCACAATTTTGGTAGAGGACTCAATGTTGATTACAATCATGCAAACAGTTTGACTGCTTAATGTCCAGGAGTAAAGAAGAAGATTTTTAAAGATTGCACTAATTTTAGTGGTTTTTGCCCCACCCCCCAGGCCCCAGGTGGGCAGGGACCATGAAATTCACAATTTTTGTTCCCCTTTACCCATAGATGCTATATGCCAAATTTGGTTGAAATTGGTTCAGTGGTTTCAGAGAAGAAGCTGAAAATGTTCAAATGTTAACGCACGACGAACGACGACGGACGAAAAGTGATAGCAATAGGTCACCTGAGTTTACTCAGGTGACCTAAAAATGCATTTCGACTAATCAGTAATATTCAGCAATAATCAGTATAGTGCCACTACCATACATTAACCCCTGACCCTTGGTCCACACATTTCACAATTTTGGAAAAGGCACCTTTGCTTATCAAAAATAACGGTATTTGATTAATACAAAGATTTCAATCAATTAATTCATTTTCAGTATATAAGTAGAGCCCCCCCCCCCCCCCAGGGGCGTTGAAATTCACAATTCAGGAAGAATGGCCCTTGCTCATCATAGCTATATAGGTACATATGTAGTTCATCTGCTTAATACCCAGGAGCAGAGTTTCAAACAATTTCTGCATTTTTTCTATATGATCAATAGAGCCCCGCCCTAACAACAGAACCCCTGACCCTGGGGCCATAAAATACACAAAGGCATTCTTCCTTATCATGAATATGTACTTGATGAGTTTATTTAATACCCAGGAACAGAGAAGAAGATTTTTAAAGAAATAATGTATTTTCACTATATAATCAATAGAGCCCCACCCTAACACCAGGCCTGGGGGCCATAAAACTTAGACGAGCTCACTTTTGATCTCAGTCTCACTTTTACCAAAGGAATATATAGTGGAAGAGTGAGATTGAGATCAAAAGTGAGCTCATTTAACTTTTATGGCCCCCAGGCCAGAACCCCTGACCCTGGGGCCATAAAATTCGTAATTTTGGAAGAAGCATTCTTGCTCATCATAACTATATACTTAGTTTATTCATTGAATACCCAGCAGCAGAGAAGATTTTCAAAGAAATCGTGCATTTTCAATATATAATCAATAGAGCCCTGCCCTAACACCAGAACCCAGACCCTGGGACCATAAAATTCACAATTTTGGAAGAAACATTCTTGCTCATCATAACTATATACTTAGTTTGTTGAATATCTAGCAGCAGAGAATATAATCAATAGAGCCCCGCCCTAACACTAGAACCCCTGACCCTGGGACCATAAAATTCACAATTTTGGAAGAAGCATTCTTGCTCATTATAACTATATACTTACTTAGTTTGTTGAATACCCAGCAGCAGAGAAGAAGATTTTCAAACAAATTCTTCATTTTCTCCATATAATCCTATAATAGAGCACCGCCCTAACACGAGAACCCCTGACCCTGGGGCCATAAAATTCACAATTTTGGAAGAGGCATTCTTCCTCATCATAATTATGTCTTTAGTTAGTTTATTTAATACCCAGGAGCAGAGAAGAAGATTTTCAAACAAATTCTGCATTTTCTCTATTTAATCAATAGAGCCCCGCCCTAACACTAGAACCCCTGACCCTGGGGCCATGAAATTCACAATTTTGCAAAAGGCATTCTTCCTCATCATAATTATGTCTTTAGTTAGTTTATTTAATACCCAGAAGCAGAGACGAAGATTTTTAAAGAAATAATGCATTTTCAATATATAAATAACAGAGACCCGCCCTAGCACTACAACTCCTGACGCTGGGGCCATGAATTTCACAATTTTGGTAGAGGACTCAATGGTCATTACATTCATGCTAACAGTTTGACTGCTTGATGTCCAGGAGTAAAGAAGAAGATTTTTAAAGATTGCACTAATTTTAGTGGTTTTGGCCCCACTCCTCAGGCCCAGGGGG